GAACGTTCACCCCTAGGGATGAGCAAAACTTGACGTGAAAAATTGATTTTATTTTTTTAATTTCAAGTTATTTGAGTTGAGTTATTCGAGTCAACTCATATTATCAATTTGGTTTTCGAGTTCAATTTGATTTGAAATTTTGAGTTACTCTAAAAAACAAAAATCTGATTAAATATTTTAATATTTTACAATTTAGTCCATGATTTCATTATTCTTTTAATTCTCCTCCATTTTGAGTTCATTTTTTACCAAATTTTAACCACATGCTCCTAAAACATCGTAAAAAACACATGTACTTTCAATTCCTCTTTTTGATAATAATTTTTATATTTCAATTTAGTCCTCAATTTTTCATAATTTCCTTTTTTCTTCAATTCATCATTTATTGTGAGTCCCTCTTTTTTAACGGAATTTGAACCACATGCTCATTTACTACAATAGAATACCTATGGAACTTCAATTTCTACTATTTTTTTACTAAAAACATACTCTCTCTTTTTTATTAGGTCCCTTATCTTTGCATTTTATTCAATATGGCCTTTTGACTACAATTGTTTGCAAATTTTTCCTTCCCATCAATTCCTTGACTCCTTTATATTCTCATCAATATTTTACCCTCAAAATACTTTCTTTGAAATATAATATTATGAATATGTTTTATAATTTTGGTTTGTATTTATTTATTAAATAATATTATAATGTGAAAAAATATAATATATATATCTTAAATGGTCAGAGAAAGTCGAAAAATTGAAATAAATCCTTGCTATAATACCATAAATAATTATAATAAAATTAATATAGAAACTCGAATAACTCGACTCGAATTTTTTAAACTCGACTCGAGAAATTTTCAAGTTAAGTTCGAGTTGTAAAATACGGCTTGTCAACTAGAATAACTTGAAATTTTTTGACTCGACTTGAGCAAATGTTCACCCCTACTTTTGGCTACACAATGATCAAAAGGAACTAACCCTTTGGTTTTTACTTTTGACAACCAATAATTAAATGCGATGGATTAAACTCCAAACCTATTTGTATCTACAAAATTTCTCAAAAAAAATTATTAGTATGGTATTAAAATTCATAGTGTTTCCAAAACACAATTAATAATTATTATAATATTTAATAATAATTATAAATACCAAATATATTATGTATTCATGCCATATTTAATATTCTACATTAAAAGGCCAAAAATATTTACAAGATAATAATATTGTACACTTAATTTCATGAACAATATCATGATACACTTTATAAGTGAATCCTATCATAATTATATTATCAAATAATACCATGACATAAAAAATATCACATTAATTCTTTAACTGCCCAACGACAACAACTACATATGGAAATTTTTATCCTTCTAGGCAAAGAATCAAATTAGTTCTTTATTACATAATCAACATTCTAAAAAAATAGAAACCAACATTACTTTAATTACAATTTCTATTTAAATAGATTTTTCCACTTTGAGCAAACCCGATAAAACTGTAGGATAAATATTGAAAACAAATTAATTTGCTTTTCATGATTTTTTCAACATTTTCGAATCGTCTAAGATTAAAGAAATGTAGAAGAAAGAATTTGTCTTAAGATTGTTAGAAATATAACAATACGAGACGATAAAAACGAGAGAAAATTTTATTGAAATAATAAAAAAGAATGAAATAGAAATAAATACACGTTTTTTATAGAACAATCGATTGAAAATGAGTTGAGGCCTATAGCTGCGCAGTTTCCTTAAGATATATTTTTAGCCACTCCTATGGTGCTTGAGATCGTTGGTCGTCTATCTCCCAAGATACAACAACTAGATGATCAACTACAATTGCACTGCTGCAGAGATCACGAACTATTTCTTGCCTTTGCCTATCACCAAAAAAACTAGAGGAGAAGAAAAAATTTCTTTTTGAATTGTGTTTAACCTAACAAGTTTACACGGTTTTTATAAGGGTTTCACATAGTACACTATTGGAAATTTTTGACCTAATAAAGGATTTAATAAAAGAGAATCAATAACCATAACAAGCAATTTTTAAAATTATCGTATGGATTAAATGAACATTTTAATATTTATTCTTTTAATTCCAAAACTGAATTTTGAAAAGATATGCTCTGCTTGAGGCAAATATTTTAAAATTGGATTAAAATATCCACAAGCTGACAGAGTGCACGATTGGTTCATACATTTATGTTACCCACATCGTGCACATCTTACACATTCACGAACCAACAATTGTTCCACATTTTACTCAATAATGTTTGAATCAATTTCTCATTTAAAGCTCCAAAATCATCGATTTTTTCCAACAAACCTTTCAATTTCCTTAAAAATAATATTCAGAATCTTAAGACAACTATCTCAAAAAGGAAAAATACAATTAGAAAACCATTAAAATCTTCATAAGGAAAGATGTTTGCACAATTCAAGCACTAAAATACTTAAGAACACTAATAGAAAGAACTATAATGAATACACTTGCTAGTGTTCTTTTTAAAGCAAATAAGAATAGATTGTAAATTACTCCTTTTAGCTCAAAATGGATTCCACAAGCTTTCTCTATTATCTCTTCTCTTCAAATATGTTATTTGATGTTGTTTATATACACCTTCATTTTTTTCTATTCGTTTGGTTTTGTTTGGTGTGGGAGTGATTATAACCCTTAAAGAGTTATTTCTGCACATTAATTGCTACTACTATATACATTTTAAGCATAGTATCGATACTCCTATATTAATTACAAAATTGTTGTTGTTAGATAATCTTAAGTAACGATACTCTTGGTAGAGTATCAATACTCTACCAGACGACATCAATACTTTGATTAAGTATCAATAATAATTTTATACTCGAAGTTTGATAAAATAAATAGAGTATTGATATTGATGAGGGAATATTTGTAACACTCTCAACTTGGTCTAGTTGGGAATCGGATCGACGATATTAAACAACTAACCGCAATCAATACCTTTAAACCTAATTCGAATATAAGATATTTAATTAATAAATTTATGAATTTTAGGGACTAAATGATCATTAAAGTCTCATACATTAGGGACCAATCTGGATAAATATGCATACTTTGGAATCATTTTATAATCATCACCAATCAATCAAGGACTAAATTGAACAATATCAAACTTTATTCACTGATGGTGCCAATATTACTCATTCAATAATAATACTTCTTTAGAACAATATTAATATTAGATGAACAACACCAATATTGATTTTTTTTCTTTCCAAATTTCAAAACTCAATTTAGTAGTGATACCCCTATACATATACTGTACTGATACTGGCCCACGGTACCAATATCATATGCACAAATAGTCAAAATCATAATTAAACAAGTTTTAATTGTGCATCGACTTACTCTAACCTATACACACGACATATAGATTACACAATGGCATACCAATAAAGCATCATAACATCACAAACTTCACAATTCTTAATTATCAAAAAAAAAAAAACAATTATTGACATTTTAAAGTCATATTTAACAACATAGTTGGTTCAAGTGGTAAATAGTTTGATATCATGTAATCAAGGTTTTGAGTTCGAATCTTATAAAATTTAGTGGAGAACGAACTTATAAAATTTTAGATGGGCAAAAATAGATTTTTAATAGAAAATATACATAAAAAATCTAAAATATAGAATAATTTAAATTTTTAAAGGGGACAACTACCCCCACCTATCCCCTCGGTAGCGATTGCAATAGGTGGGGTTGGGTCGGGTTTTTGCTCAATCTGATCCGACCCAAAAAAATACCATCCACCCAAACTCAACCTAACCCGAAAATTATATATCATCCACCTGACACGACTTGATCTGACCCAATCTGAAAAATATACATCCATCACCCGATTTTGACCTGACCCGAAATTTTAAAGTATAAATATGACTCGATCCGACCCAACAAAAAAAATACATCCTCCACCCGATTTCAACCTGATCCGAATTTTTAGAGTATGAATTTGACTCGACCTGATATAAAACAATGACTTAATTAGAAAAATAATATTCTTTTAAGGAAAGTACGTTATTATCCTCGAATTAGGTTGGATTGAAGTTCTTTCACCCTCCACTTAAACCTGACCCGACCCGATCTCACCCCCTTAAAAAATTCGATATGAATTTGAATTTTTTATTAGAAAATTCTACCCTATCAAATCAGATCAAGACCCATTGATTTCGAGTTAAATTATCATCCCTATCCCTCGATCCATTTATGATCTATATAATTAACATGAATCAAACATTATTATTATCGCATGATATAAATAACATATAATGTGCATATAACCACTATTTTAAGAGTTTAAAGACAGGTAGATGCACTAATCAAATACTTAAAGATGACCTTCATAAAATATTTTTAAAATACATTTTTTTTATTAAGCTAAGATGATTACAAAGTAATATCTGTTTTAAATACTTTCAATCATTTGACAATGAATGCTCAATCATCCTACTACGACTACTGATACTCGAACATGTGACATCTAAGAATAATAACGATTTCTTTAATTATGTTTTTAAAATACATAATTGAAGTGACATGACTTTTATCTTATGTGTTAAAAGAAATAGTGGTTTATTTAATAAATTTTAAATTTTATTTTTAGGCATATTTTATTAAATTATTAAAAAGTATTTATAAATAAAAATACAAGCCTTTACTTTTCCGATGCACCGCGGACACATGTTGATGTAACTATTCAGTTTTAGTCTGAATTATTTAAATTGAGAGCCCAAACCCAGGCTGCCATTTGCCAAACGCAGTCTCCCACCAAAAATAAATTTGAATAACTCACCTTTTCCCTGTACCCTTCACTTTTACTTCTTACACTTGTAAAAAAAAGAAAGCTTTAAACTCCATTTAAAATTTAAATTAATTTATCATTCAAATAATTTACTATTTATGTCTTCAATCAATTAATTTATCATTCTCCCCAAGCTCGGGAAAAAGAAATTGCCTGTATCTTTGCATCTGTCTACATCTACTAGCTTCCACCTTTTGTTGTGGCAATGGGTTGTGTTTCATCTAATTTGCTGAACCGGGACGACGAGTTCACTCAACTCGGTAGCACAGCACTCGGTCACCACATTGTTTCGCTTACTTCCACCACCTATGGGCTACTCACTCTTGACCCACCGTCGCAATCCACCGCTACGCCGCCCTCTCCAGAGCCATCTGTCACCTCCGAATCCACCTTCAGTGAGTCCAAATCGCTCTGGTCAGAGCCCAGACTCGTCCCTGCCCGACCCGAGATCATTAACTCCTGGGAGCTCATGTCCGGACTCGATACCAATAGCTTCCGTTTCTCTCAAAGCGGCAGCGTTCCAAAGCCGCGGGTCTCACGATCTTCGCTGCTGGATAAATTCCAGGCCGAGAGCTTCTGTTTCCCAAACACAATGCTCCCCGAAAAGGAAAACGCCGATCCTAATTTAAACAAAAAAGGCACCGTCACGAAGACTCATTTTTCGAGTTCTCCACCGCTAAACAAATACGATCCCGGAAGTGAAGCTATTCTGAAACCAGCGCCGCTCGACAAATTCGAGAATATATGTCCACCAAACGGAGAAAACAGAGTGGTGCTTTATACGACGACGTTGAGGGGAATCCGTAAGACATTCGAAGACTGCAATGCGGTTAGATCAGCGATTGAAAGCTACGGGGTTGTTTTTTGCGAGCGGGATATTTCGATGGATCGAGGCTTCAAGGAAGAGTTACGGGAATTATTAAAAGGGACAAACCAAGCGACGCTGCCTCAGGTTTTCATTAAGGGGAGGCACGTTGGGGGAGCGGAGGAAGTCATGAGGATGGTGGACCAAGGTTGTTTTGGGGATTTAATTAAGAGTTTGCCGAAGAAAAGAGCTGGGGAGGTTTGTGATGGCTGTGGGGATGTGAAATTTTTGCCCTGCTTTCGGTGCAACGGTAGCTGTAAGATGGCGGTGGTGGCACAAGAGTCGGAGAGGAACATGGCGGTGGTCAGGTGTACGGACTGTAATGAGAACGGTTTGGTCCGTTGCCCCATTTGTAGCTGAATCACTTTCTGTTCTAATATCCAAGTGTTTGATTGTATGTTCAGCTGATTCATCTTATAGGCTGCAATCTCTTTTTGATCAAATCTGTATGTTGCTTTATGTTCTATAGTATTCTCTATGCTCCAAGGGTAGATTGTAGAGTTCTAGTAATGTTAGCAATTGAAGATGTGACAAATTGACGACCCTCAAAATGGGATTCTCAGTCATAAAAGCCAGTCTTGTAATATTATCAAATAACTGTATTTATTGGTTCCAAACAATTGAATATGTAGCTAAATCTCTATAAACACTAAATGTTATTGGTATCATAGAACGTCTACCGGAGCTAACATTGTAGATGAATCTATTACTAACAGGGGTGGTTTTGCAGTGTAGTAAACTTGAGTTTTTTATTGGCTAGCTTATTGGAACATGTGCTTATGAGTTCTACCGGTACTTGAAGGACCTTCACAAAATGGGCAGTTATTTCTTGTCGATAGATGTTAAGATTTTTGTGATCCGAGTTTTGTCTTGATTCGACTTGAAAAGTTGGTGATACAATCCGCTTGACGAAGAAATAAAAACGAGAAATAAAGGGGATTAATGTTGTCGTAATCGATTTCCGGCAATACGACGAGTCTCGACTTATTTTGTGAAAACCCGATTTTGTAAAAGAAATGTTTCGGAGTCGCCATCGACCTTTTGTGTTAGGTAGGTAGAACACTCAAAAATTTTCTTTTAAAAGAGTTTTTTCTAAAGAAAAATATCATTTTAAAAGATTTAACGATCTACGTGTAACCAGAAATTTATTTTTAGTAATAAGAAGGGTTCGAGGGTCGGTTACGTGTGGGGAAGGATAAGCACACCCACAACGCCCAAAATTAGTACCTATCGATTATATATTGTCTCAAATTAGTAGAAATCTAAGAATTTGAATACATATTTAAATTACAATTCCATTATTCCAAATTTAACCAAACAAAATTGTAGAACAAAAAATTCTAAGGAAAAATAGAAAATATTCCTATATTTCCAATTAAAGAGAAAATACTCCCTAAAATACTTTAGGACGAATATTTCTCTTTCTAACTGAAATAAAAGGAATATAATGATTTTCCCAAGAATTCAATAGTAAAATAATTTTTATTCAACCAAAGAAATAAATGAAACCCATCAATCCTAAATATATTATTAGAAGAAATAAGAGATATTCAATTATTTAAAAATACTGAGACTCAATCCTTGATAAAATTAGACGAATTGTCTCGGTAAGTTTAAAATAGTGAATATTTCATTTTCCCTTCAAAATTAATCAATTTTAAATGCAATCAAAATTTTTAAAGGTTTTTCTAGTGGGATATTTGTTTATTTTAAAATATCGGAAAAGGACATATAGTTGTCTTAAGATTGTGCCTTCTGAATATTTTAAAATAAATAAATATTGCCCTTAATTCAATTATGTAATCAGTTAAACTATGCTAATGAGGCTCTTAAACATACTTTTATGGTATAAATAAACAATATACATATGATTTTACTCATTACATGGTGACAACAATAAATGCATAGTAACCTTAGTATCCTAAACATTAATAAACAAATATCATGTCATGAAATAAGAAAATAACAAAATAGAAGCACCAGAATCATAATAAAACCATAGATACATGACTAAAACGGAAAAACATAAATATCAGTAGCCAAATCTCGAAAGAAAAAAAACATTCAACAAATGACGAAATTAAAATAATGTAAAATCATGTATCCAATTCGTAAATCACAGAAAATAAACAGAAACTAAGGACCAAATCATAAAACCCGCTAAACTAGAAGGGACCTAAGACTCGATTAACCCAAAAAAGTTACTGAAAAACAAATCACCTTAAACAAAAAGGACCAAAAGAATGATTTAACCCTAAACTAGTGACCAGAATGCTAAACACGCTAAAGCTCTAGGGATCTTAACGTGATTTTCCCAAAAATCCTAATATATCAACATATCACCCATTTTCTGGAATTATTTCTGCACGAAACTCACCATAACTCAACTCTTTTTTCTTCTTCTCTCAACCACGGTGACAACCCCTCACCCAAAGAAGATGAAATCTTCACTCAGGCCACCACGCGCGGCGGCATCGATGCCCAAACTACACTACCCGATTCGTATCCTCTCCCCTACTACCTGATTCAGCGAGGAACACAACAACCCCAGGTAAAATCTTACCCCACTTCTATTTCGTTTTCATTTTTCCCCTAAAAATAGTATAGAAAAATCATTAAACGAAAGAAAAATATTCGAATACCTTCAAATATTAGGTTCTAATTTTGATTGCTGAGTAAAATTTTTTCTGTAATTTTATTGCCCCGTAAAAGTTCTTACATTGCTTCATTTTCTAGGGCTATATACCCATACCAAGATTCTAAAACATAGAAACAAATTTATTGATTTTCTAATGTGTTTAGTTGGGAGTGGTGAAGTAGGGAATGAGGTTGCTCGGTGGAGGATGGGCAACAATCCCGGTTTGTGTGCTCGTGGAACAACAGGTCATGGGTAATGAGGAACTGAGCGTGCTGGCCGACAAGTTATGGGCTTTCTTGGGAGGCACAAGCTGCTGTTGGGTGTGCCTCATGCGTGAGTCTTCTGCTGGGGAGCTGGAAATGGCATATGGGGTGCATGTGGCTCCACATGGGATGTATATGCACTAGCATGGGTAAGATAAAAAAAAATAAAACGGTGCTCACAGCTTCCCCTCTTTGCTAATTACTGTGAAATGAGAATGAAGCAAAGATAAAAGAGTGCCATTTTTTTATCTTGGTCTCTTCTCTTCCAGTCTCGGGTTCTTCTAGAAATGTTGATCCAAGGTTGAACAAGTTCTTCTCATTATGAATTTCTTCTCCCTCATTGGATGAGTTCTTCTCATTATGAACTCTCCACTGGGGATATCAATCCACTATCTTCTGCGATGGCTGACCCAAAATGATGTTAATCCAACTACTTATATGATGGATTTAAGTGAGATGACAATGTTTGATCCACCTTATTTTTTGATGAAATCGAACGATATGTTGGTGATGTTCTAACTCCGTATGCGATGGAAACAAGTTAAGGTTGAACAAGTTCTTCTCATTATGAACTTCTTCTTTCTCATCGGATGAGTTCTTCTCATTATAAACTTTCTACTGAGAATGTTGATCCCTCGAGTGAGGTGTTGCTGATTCAACTCTATATGTGATGAATCGAGCTAATGTTGAACAAGTTCTTCTCATTATGAACTTCTTCTCCCTCATTGGATGAGTTCTTCTCATTATGAACTCTTTACTGAAAATATTGATTCAAGGTTGAACAAGTTCTTCTCATTATGAGCTTATTCTCCCTCATTGGATGAGTTCTTCTCATTATGAACTCTCTACTGAAAATGTTGATCCCTCGAGTGAGGTGTTGTTGATTCAACTCCATATGCGATGAATCAAGCTAAGGTTGAACAAGTTCTTCTCATTATGAACTTCTTCTCCCTCATTGGATGTGTTGAAAACATTTTGATATTTCGATATAACAAATTAAGATAAATGAATTTTAAGATTTTCCAATAAGGTTTTCTAAGTATATTCGATACAATTATTCGAATAACAAAATATTACTCCAAATCTTTTAAAAGTCATTTTTAATCCTTATGTAAGTATAAAATTAAGTTTTAATCTTAAAATAATTTCAAAACAATTTTACAAAGTATTTCGAACCGTTTCAAAGCCAAAAATTCCAGAATATCCAGAGGGAACCGATTCCCCCTTGTTTAACTGTCGAAATATTTGAATTTTACACTTAGGGAACCGATTCCCCATGAGAGGTACCGATTCCCCCCACGCTCTAAGCAAAAATATTAATTGTTTTCACACTTAAACGGCTCCAAAATCTTTATTAATGATCCCCAACGTTCAGAAGTGATTCAAGGTGTATTTAAGCAAGCTTAGAAGCCATTGATCAATAACAAGAAACATCAAGCAACTAGAATCAAGAGAGAATCAAAGAGAAAGCATCAAACCTCAAGTTTGAGCATTTCAAGCCTATTTTTCATTCAATATTAATTTTGCTTTCAAGAACACTTATTGTGCTCAATTGTATTATTCTTGAGTGTTCTTTTCTTTGTTCTAGAATTGTGCAAAGAACCTACCTTGTGAGGATTTCCTTGTAAGTTTGCAAATTTGTATTGTTCTCTTTGGGAGAGAGTGTTCTCAAGAATTTGGGGTATAATTCTTGAGGGTTTGTAAGGTTACTCTTTGTCCTCAAAAGAAAGACAAATTAGTGAATTTGTGGAAAATCCTTAGTGTGGATAGCTAAGGTAGTGGACGTAGACTTTGGTTGAGAAAGTCAAACCACTCTAAATCGCTGTGCAAATTTCTTTCAATTTTCTGTAAAAGCTTCTACCAAAATTTTTATTGCCAATTCACCCCCCTCTTGGCCATATTCGTCAATCGATTAACTCAACAATTGGTATCAGAGCCTCACTCGTTTGAAGGTTTAATTGCCTCTTAAGTCGATCCATGAAGAGATAAATTGATAAATATGGCGTCAACTTCCGGTTCATTATCCATGGAAGAGTCCAGACCTATTGACGTGCCTCCACACTTCAATGGAACAAATTATCGTCATTGGAAGAGGTGTATGATGATATTCATCAAAGCATTTGATATGAAAGCTTGGATGATAATCAAGAAAGGATATTCCTCTCCTACTAAGAAGGCAAAGAAGTGGAGTGTTCAAGAACGGAAGGAAGCTCAACAAAACTCAAAGGCTATGCACATGTTGTGTTGTGCAATTGATCCTAATGTATATAAAGGAGTTTCTTCTTGTTCAAGTGCCAAGGAAATGTGGGATAAGCTTGAGGAGATCTATAGAGACAAGGAAGAAGAAGAACCAATAAAAGTGATGTCTCTATTAGCTTTCACAGAGCCAAAGGTATCTTCTAACTCAAATATATCAAATTCAAAATCTTTTAATGAGTTACAAGATGCTTATGATAAATTATTTTTTGAGACCATGAAATCCAAATACAATAAATTGATTTATAAATTTATTGCTAAAAATGATCTTCTTTTGAAAGCT